CCCCCACAGCCCAGCTGGTTTCAGTGCCCCACCCACTCCCCTGTCCATCTGTTCTCTGCGTCCCCCTGAGAAAAGACAAGTTATTTTTCAATTCATTTGTACAGCACCAAGCGCAGCGGGCGTGATCCCCGATAGCCACCCATAGGTCTGACTGCAACACCAACAGCCTCATTAATAATAATGATTTATCAAGGACGCTTGAAGCCAGGAGCACATTTACCTTTGCAAAGTTTTTGTTCGTCTTTGGATCCCCCACACACATCATTGTTGAGGCCTTATAGTATTGATATGTCCCATTACGTTTCCTCAGACACTTGGCATACTTCATCACCACCACATCCACCTCCTGGAGCTTGGTCGGGGTCGATTCACTCTCTGGGCTAGTCCTGCCCCAGCCGGCAACGCTGCACAAAGTCCCTGGCTTTACAATCTCCTTGTCGCGGGGCAGGGCGATGGTACCCACCCTTGTATTGAGCTTCACTTTCTTGGCCAGCTGAGAAACAAGATCAATGTTAGGGTTGCACTCAAGGACACAGATACACACTCCTAACCCCAGCAGAACACATAACCATGGGGCCTGTGGGGACAGGGTAATGGGATGGGGGCAGTACCTGAAGCAGTGTGAGACCACTGCGGGCGGGGTGATGGGATGGAGACGGTACCTGCAACAGTGTGAGGTCACTGGGGGAGGGGTGATGTGTTGGGGGTGCTATCTGCAGTGTGAGGTCACTGGGGACAGGGGGATGGGATGGGGTCAGTAACGACAGTAGTGTGAGGTCACTGGGGGCGGGGGGATGGGATGGGAGCGGCAATGTGAGGTCACTGGGGGTGGGAGGATGGGATGGAGGCAGTACCTGCAGCAGTGTGAGGTCACTGGGGACAGGGGGATGAGATGGGGGTGGTAATGACAGCAGTGTGAGGTCACTGGGGGTGGGAGGATGGGATGGGGGTGGTTCCTGCAGCAGTGTGAGGTCACAGGAGGAGGGGTGATGGGATGGGGATGGTACCTGCAGCAGTGTGAGGTCACTGGGGACAGGGGGATGGGATGGGGCGGTAATGACAGTAGTGTGAGGTCACTGGGGGCGGGGGGATGGGATGGGGCAGTACCTGCAGAGCATGATGTCATTGTTTAGGGTCTCCTTGTTGTATTTTGGGTGCGGGATCTTTCCACACACACGGATCTTTTGTCGTTTCATGTCCAGTCTTTGTTTTATATTATGGGCTCCCAGGGACACAGTGATCTCTCTGTAAAAGCCAAGAACAATGCATGAGTTGTAGGGGCAGGAGCGTACATGAGGTGGGGGATGGGCACATGTGGGGCTGACTCATGGAGAGTGATATGAGCAGACAGGGCAGACTGGGGCTCTCAGGCCAAGATCTCGGACTCCGCTGCTGTGGTGAAAAAACCTACTCCGGTGGGCACAGGGCCTTTCCCCAGTGGTGTTGGGGTCCCATCAGTTGTCTCCACCAGCCCCTTGTGCTGTTCCCCTGAGCTCCTTCACTCCTCGTTGTCCTCCTGCCAGGCCCTTGGGTCTCAGCTCGCCTCCAGCCCAGTGACCCTTTCCTGGCTAGATCTAGACGGGGTCTGTGCCCAGCTCCCCCCAGCCCAGAGCCCTGGAGAGCTGTCCTGGGGCTGAGCTCCTCCCTGCCCTGATCTGGGCAATGGGCCAGAGCCCAGTTGGTGTCACTGGCCGTAGCTCTATTGATTTACCCAGCGCTGGATCTGGACTATGGTTTGCAGAGGCCCTTAGAGACACGCCGACACCCCCTGAGCAGATCAGACCCACGGGCTCTGCTCTCCCAGCCTGTCACACTAACTGCTCCTTCCTTGCAACCTACAACGGCACCAGAGCTCCCGGCTCCCCCATCACCTGCTAACGACCGACCTGCCCTGACATCCCCAGCACAGAGGCGCTTACTCGGCATTGCTGTGAGCAGCCGTCAGCACAAAGTTCTCCAACACCAAGAACCCTCCACAGCGAGACTTCTCATCTCCATCTCGTATATCCAGATAGGCCATGTAGGGTCTGCAGTGGGGCTGGGCTTCCTGTCCCCCGATGATCTCACCTGGGGGGAGACCAGGCTGATACAAAAAGCCTCATCGTCTCCTTGGGCCAGGCTGAGACCAAGCTCACAATCCCGAACGGAAGTCCTCCCAACCTCATCCCACCCCCTGTGATGCTCTCCCTGGGGGATTCCTGTGCCTGGAACACTCGCCCCTCCTCAGCTCTCCCTCAGGCTGGACACCCCATGGAGCCAGAGGGTAAATCTAAAGCTCTGACCTGCCTGGGAGTGGGTCAATAATCGCAACAATGGCACTGAGAGGTCCCTTGGGGACACTTCTCCTTCTCCATCAACCCACAGTGACCAGCCAGGGCTGCTCCAAGACTGACCCCCCAATCTTTTGGTCCAGTGAGAAATTGTGGTTTTTACTAAGGGTATTTTTTTCTCAGAAAGCCTTTTCTCTCCTTGAACATGTCTGATTTTTTCTTCTGAAACTGATTCTTTCCCCCTGGGTTTTGGTAATTTTTAGGTGGAAGTTTCCAGGTTTTGCTCACTGTAAAAAAAAGTTTTTGGTTTTTTTCCATGGAAAAATAAAAAACCTTTTGTGATCAGCTCCAAACAAGTCTCGACTCAAGTGGGTGGATGAGTTGGAAAATGGCACCTTTAACAAATGGCTGTTACAGTAGAGCCTCAGAGTTACCAACACCAGAGTTAGGAACTGATCTGTCACCCACACACCGCATTTGGAACTGACGTGTGCAATCAGGCAGCGGCAAAGACAAAAAAAAAGGAAGAAGAAGAAGCAAGTACAGCACAGTGCTGTGTTAAACGTAAACTACTTTAAAAAATAAAGGGAAAGTTTAAAAAAAGATTTGGCAAGATAAGGAAACTGTCTCTGTGCTTGTTTCATTTCAATTAAGATGGGTAAAAGCAGCATTTTTCTTCTACATAGTAAAGTTTCAAAGCTGTATTAAGTCCATGTTCAGTTGTAAACTCTTGAAAGAGCCAGTATGTTTTGTTCAGAGTTAGGAACAATCTCCACTCCCAAGGTGTTCGTAAGTCTGAGGTTCTACTGTATTGGCATTAGGGTGGCACCTAGACCAAGATGTGCCAGGTGCTGTACAGACCCTGATTGAGATCATAGAATCCTAGAATCCTAGAACTGGAAGGGACCTCGAGAGGTCATCCAGTCCAGTCCCCTGCACTCGTGGCAGGACTAATTATCTAGACGATCCCTGACAGGTGTTTGTCCAACCTGCTCTTATAAATCTCCAATGATGGAGATTCCACAACCTCCCTAGGCAATTTATTCCAGAGCCTAACCAGCCTGACAGTTAGGAAGTTTTTCCTAATGTCCAACCTAAGCCTCCCTTGCTGCAATTTTAGCCCATTGCTTCTTGTCCTATCCTCAGAGGTTAAGAAAACCATTTTTTCCCCTCCTTGTAACAACCTTTTACATACTTGAAAACTGTTATCATGTCCCCTCTCAGTCTTCTCTTTTCCACACTAAACAAACCCAATCAGGCCCTGCTCCACTGTGCCAAGCGCTGCCCAGACCCAAACTGAGATCAGGGACCCGCACTGTGCCAAGCACTGCCCAGACCCCAACCAAGATCAGGGTCCCCCCCATTGTGCCAAGCGCTGCACAGACCCGACCAAGATCAGGGTCTCCCCATTGTGCTGGGCATGGCACAGACCCTGACCAAGATCAGGGCCCCCATTGTGCCGGGCACTGCTAAGACCCTGTCTGAGATCAGGGACCCCATTGTGCCAGGCCTTGCACTGACCCACAACCCTTGCCCCAAAGAGCATACAGCTCAAACAGACACAGGAAGAAACATTCTTCTTATTATATAGATGGGGAAACTGAGGCCCAGGGAGATTGTTCCTAAGTGATTTGGGTGCCCAGTTCCCATCAGCACTCCATGAAAATCCCAGTTCCAGGGACTGGCCCAATATCCCCACAGAGAGCCTGGGAAGAGCTGGGAAATGCTCCCAGATTTCTTGGGTCCCAGCTCTGTGCATTAGCCCCATGATCAACCTCCCTGTCTGGGGCTTGGCTTGACAGTGGGATCCCAAAAGAGCCTGAGGGGCCCCAGGCATACTCAGGGGAGGCTACAGGTTTCCTATAGCCCCCTTGGCCCGAGCAGGATCTGGGAGAGACCCTCACTGATACCCACATACAGCTAAGGGTATAATAAAATCCCTCTTTACCCTGAAAAGGGTTAATTCCTCTTTTACCTTTAAAGGGTTAAGAAGCTCAGATAACCTGGTTGGCACCTGACCAAAAGGACCAATAAGGGGAGAAGATACTTTCAAATCTGTGGGGGAAGGTTCTTTTTTGTGTGTTTGTTTTGTTCTCTCTGAGGCCAGGTCTACACTACCGCGGTAGTTCGACGGCTGGCAATCGAACTTCCGGGTTCGATTTATCGCGTCTGGTCTGGACGCGATAAGTCGAACCAGGAAGTGCTCGCTGTCGACTGCAGTACTCCACCTCAGCGAGAGGAGTACCGCGGAGTCGACGGGGGAGCCTGCCTGCCGCGTGTGGACCGCGTCTGAACCGCGGTAAATTCGAACTAAGGTATGTCGACTTCAGCTACGTTATTGACGTAGCTGAAGTTGCGTACCTTAGATCGAATTGGGGTGTTAGTGTAGACCAGGCCTGAGTCAGCAAAGGAACCAGAGCAGGGCAAATACATGTCCCTAAGCCATATCTGGACTAAGCATCTAGTACTGCAGAAATAGTAAGTAATAGCAAAGAAATGTGTTAGATTATCTTTTGTTTTAGCTTGTGAATTTTCCCTGTGCTGAGAGGGAGGTTTATCCCTGTTTTTGTAACTTTAAAGTTTTGCCTAGAGGGGAAATCCTCTGTGTTTGGATTCTTTTTGTTACCCTGTAAAGTTATCTTCCATCCTGATTTTACAGAGGTGATTCTTTTAACTTTTTTTTTAAATAAACTTCTTTTAAGAACCTGATTGTTTTTCAGTGTCCTAAAGACCCAGGGGGGTTGATCTGTGCTCACTTTGTAACCAATTCGTTAGGATATTATTTTCAAGCCTCCCCAGGAAAGGGGGTTTAGGGGCTTGGGGGGATATTTTGGGGGAGATAGGGCTCCAATTAGCCCTCCCTGAATGTTTGTTTAAATCACTTGGTGGTGGCAGCGATACTAAGGGCAAGGAAGGAATTTGTGTCTTAGGAAAGTTTTAACCTAAGCTGCTAGAAATAAGCTTAGGGGGTCTTTCATGCGGGTCCCCACAGACGTACCCTAGAGTTTAGAGTAGGGAAGGAACCCTGACAGTCCCTCTGCCAGGTGAGGGTGCCACTCCCCACAGGTTCCACTTCCTTCCCCACACTCACCAGTCTGAGCCCCAGGGGGCAGGAGAAAGGCCACGGGAAGCAGGACCAGCATGAAGAGCTGCATCGTCAGAGCCAACCACGGACAGGCACAGAGCCTCTGCCTTAGCCCCGGGGGTTAATCGGACCAGGCAGGGGACTGGGAGGGCCCGGCCTGGGAACCAAAGAGGCACGTACACTCCTGCCCGGAAACTTCTACCCCGGATGGGCCAGGAGCAGAGACACCCATTGGGGATGCCTCCAGCCACAGCTGTGCCCACATCAGGGTGGGGGGTTTCCTCCCTGCCCTCGTGCCCACCCAGCCTGGCTGCGGATGTGGTTAACACTGCTCCCGCCCTACTACAGGTGTTAAAAACACCCCTGGGCTTCTCTGCACTAAGATACCCAGACCCACAGATTTCAAGGCCTGGAGGGACCATGGTGACCTTCCAGCCTGACCCCCTGGGCACCCCAAAGTCAGAACCCACCCAACAACTCCTGCCTCCAACATGGCCCCCAGTTCCCCTGGCTCCATGGTCAAAGTTTTCACCTTAACACATCACTGTTATTTGCATTAGTGTGGCACCTAGACTGAGATCAGGACCCCTCATTGTGCCGAGCACTGCTCAGACCCACAATCCCTGCCCCCAAAGAGTGTCCAGTTCAAATAGACACAGGCAGAAACATTCTCATTGTACAGATGGGGAAACTGAACCACAGTGAGATTGTTCCTAAACCTGTTTAAGGGGGTTGGGTGCTCAGTTCCCATCAGCACTCCATGAAAATCCCAGCCCCGGGGACTGGCCCATGAAATCCACAGGGAGTCTGGGCTGAGCTGGGAACTGGTCCCAGATTGCTTGGGTCCCAGCCCTGTGCCTTAGCCCCACAGCCGGACTCCCTGTCTGAGGCATGGATTGGCAGAGGGGTCCCACAGGAGCATGTGGAACTGGGCCACCCAACTGCTCGGGCTGCTTTGAGAGCCCCAGGCTCACTCACTCCCTGTAAGTGGAGGTGCCGTCTCCCTGGGGGGATTCACATACACAGAGAAGGAAGGATCAGTGGTCTAGCATCCTCCATCCCACCTCCCGCAGGGTCCAGTCCTGAATTCCCCAGCCAACCCCCCAATGGCCTTGGATTCCATTTGGTGACCCATACTATAGTTACATGCAGGATCCAGATAGCAGGTGGGTCCAGCACTGGCAGGATGGGGCAATGGGTCTAGAAACTAATGGTGTTCTTCTCGATGGATCTAGAATGGATGGACATGGGTGTGGATCAGTCTAGACTGGAATTGCTTGATCAAAATGAATCCTGAATTGACCTAAATGGTTTCAGCAACATATTTGTGCATCTGCTTTGCTCAAGCAGGGACCTCTAATAGTTCGGGAATGGCTCTAGATAGGCAATGGTGGGTCGGCATGGGGTTGTGTGGATCCCATCTCCCATCTGTCAGACATGCTAAGTCCATGAGCAGCATCCCAAGCAAAGTAGTGGAATTGCAGAGATGGGACTCCATCAGTAGAGATGCTAAGGGAGAGCAATATAACTGATACCAATCAATATGGTTCCATGGAAAACAGGCCGTGTTAAATGAAGACGATGTCATTCTTTGACAACATTACAAGGCTGGTTGATAGAGGCGACCATGCTGAGGGAAGAGATAGATTTGGACTCTTGGAAGACATCTGCTGAAGTGCCACATGACTTTCTCATTGAGACACTGTAACATCAACATGTTTTAATCCAGGTGAAATGGATTAGAAACTGGTTCGCCAACTGCGTGCAAAATGCAGTGTTGAATGGGGAATGAAAGGGGGTTTCCAGGGGATCCCAACGGGATCTGGTCTTGGCCCAGGGCTGTAGAGCAGCTCATGCTTTTAGTTCTGGCAGGCCACCCGGTTCAATCCCTGGTGGATCAACAAAGACGACAGCCATCACAGTCTAGCTCCTATAGCCACATTGCCAGCACTTCTGTTACTGTCTGCTCAGCCATCTCACCACTTCTCACCCCTCCTCTCTCTCGCACGTGGAGAACAGCTGTCCCACTGAGCAAAGCCCCAGTCCCTGCCTTTGCTAAGCGCGCCCTGGGACGTCAATGGAGCCATGTGGTTTGGCATCTACTCCAGCTCTCCCACACGCCTGTGTGTTGGGCGCTATGGCTGTGGGTTCCCCAGATGGCTAAAATGGCTTCCTTGCATTAATCTATGAGAGCAGAGGCCACGCCTGGAACAAGGTTTACTCCAACCCCCAACAATAACATTGACCCATCTCCTCCCTAGGCGCTGGACCCCTGCTTTCAAATGAATGGGGATAGGGTGACCACATCTCCCAGGCACCCCTGACAGTCTCAGCCTTAAGACAATCACCCCCCCCACATCCCATAGTTCGCCAGTGCGAACCCCTGAGGACAGCACTGGGAGATCAAGGAAAGAATAGATCCCCTAGGGTTTAGTTGACAGGCCCGTCACCATCAATGATGGGCAAAGATCATGCTTTAGAAGGCTACAAGGCACCAGCTGTGTAATGTCTGGAGCCCAGCACAACTAGCCCTCATGTTTCCAATATTTGGTGCCTCAGTTGCTGGAAGCCATTCCCCTCGGGGGGGGGGGGGCAGGCTTCGATCTGGCCCAAGGTCGGAGGGCTGGCTGGCTCAGGGATGGGGAGCTGGGACATGGTGTCTTTCCTCTCAAGGGCACCTCAGTCCTGCTGTTACTGTTCCTTTTTGCCCTTCCCCAGATCTTCCTTACATGGGCTGTGGCTAACACTGATCGGTATCGGTGATGGGTGAGATAACATGCCCCGGTCCCCTGTGATAGTCTGGACCTTTATGTTCAACCCTTTACAGGACGGTGATAAATTTCATACAAAATATGCCTTGTGAGGTATCGTTTGTAAAGTCTCTCATCACATGTTCCTGCAATCTTACAGGGTGAATTGCCTTCAGTCAGGATCCTTTCCCCAGTCCAATGCTGCTTCCTTTGTACTTTCAGTGTTGTGAGTGCTGTGGGTAGAGAGAAAGGGATAGATCATTTGGGGTGTCTGCTCCACCTTCTTGTAGCTCTTTCTCTTCTTTCAGAATTATCTCCAGCTGATGTTTACGAGACATAAAGTCTGTATGGAAAGGAACCCCAAGCTGTTTCATTGTCAAGATGTAGATTTTTTTGCCCATACCCTCTTTCCTGCCCAAGAATGGCCACTTAACCAGGTTATGGTCCATTTGATTTTGTTGACACCTGGCTGAGGCATCAGCTAGCCTTTTGTCTCTGGAGAACTGGTTTGTGGTTGCTCCCCAGATTTGGAGTATGTCGTAGTAACACCATACAGTAGAATCTTATAACTTTATATGCCACATATATTTTACCCAGACAATAATGATCAGCAAATTATGAGTTTTGAATGATACCAGACAAGACATACTTTGTACAAAATTTATCACAGTCCTGTAAGAGGGGTGAACATAGGAGTACAGACTGTCACAGGCCCCTAGATACCACCCACTGAGTCCCCATCCCTAATACTCCCCCATTTATCCCAAAGCCCCGGGGGGCCCTGATTTCATCTGTACTCACCAGCCTGACTCCTGCGGGGCAGGAGAATGACCGTGGGGAGCAAGAGCAAGATCTGTACCTGCATGTTCAGAGTCAGTGTAGGGAGGAGTCGCAGGAAACCTCAGGGTCACCCACACACTCATCCAAATGCAGAGCTCAGGAGTCTCAGTTTCCAACCACAGCCCCACACAGGCTGTGGGGAAGGACAGAGCGTGCAACAGCCCAGCAGCTGGGGATCCTCCAAAGCTGGCTGGAAACTGCATGGCTGGGTTGCTGCAGAGCTGGATGGATGTTGCCCAACTGGGTGACTGCCCAGCTCAATGGATGCTGCCTAGCTGGGGAGGCTACAAAGCTGGCTCTCTGCAATTCTGCATGGAGAAGACCCTGCTGGGGATGTGTCTAGCAGGATCCAGGACTACTCTGGATGAAGGCTCACATCAGTGCTTCTTGGCACATCTGGGACTCTTACTCATCTGCCTCATCCTCACTTAGCTCCCTGCCCGTGTCTCTGTGGTGGGGGCTGTGGGTGACACTGATTGATCTCAGTGGTGGGGAACGCGGCCCTTTGATCTTTCTCATGGTGGCCCAGCCATGAGCAGAGTGGGGCTGCACAGACCAGCCATCGGCCTCGATCACAGCAACAACGGCAAGAGGGCTTCTTGATGGGCATTTCTACACTAGAATCTTAAGTCAACCTAGCTTAGGTCAATTTACAGTCACAGTAGTTATTCCTGTGGCTGATGTCACCACTACCTTCCAGAGCCCGGGATAGAACCCAAGAGTCCTGGTTCCCAATCCCCCCACTGCTCCTACCTAGATACCCTATTTCTCTCCGAGAAATCAGGAGTCCTGTCCCTCAGCCCCCTGTGACCCAGAGGCCCCATTTGGTGCCAATCACTGAAGTATTTACTGTCCTTCACAAGCCACTCAGGTCTCAGACCTGACAAATTCACTACACCTAACCCACATCATAGCAAGGATCTTTGAAAGTATAAAAGAGGGGAAGGGACATCATCATTTGGCCTCTCTCCCCCTGCCCTCCCATCTCAACACCTAGAATCATGTCAGAAAGACAAAGGCTTTGAGCAGGGGAAATTTGGTCCCAAGCTGGAAAAGAGTCCAGTCTGTGTATTGAGGAGCTGTAACCTGCTTGCACCATCTGTCAGGGTGAGAAAAGCTGTTTGATTCAAATCCTGATTAGACTAAAAGTTTAGGATATAGAAGGCGTATTTACATATTTATTTCTTCTCTGACCTTTATGCCTCCCACTTTATAATGACTTCAAATCGATCTTTCTGTAGTTAATCAATCTGCCTTGTATTTTACCTAACACAGGGTGTTTTGATTGAGGTGCTTGAGAAATCTGAGCTCAGGTTACACAGGTTGCTGTGTGTCCTCTCCACATCGAAGGAGAGGCAAACTGGGCAATGAGCTTACACTGGCCAGACTTCTGACCAGTGCAAGATGGTACAGCTCTGCGGGGCAAGGCTGGGGACCTGGGGGATTGGCTGGAGCTGCCATATTGATGGTTCACGAGTGGCTGAGAGAGCATTCATGTAACTCAGCTGCGTATGTCCTGGTCTGTGGATGGCTGTGTAAATGCAGGGCCTGTCAGAGGCTTGTAGCTCGACATCAGCATCACAGTGTGAGAGGCAGCCCAGGCTGGTGTGTTTGGAGGGCTCAGCGGTCCCACAGGCCAGGTTGCACCCCAGGGACCCCATCACAGTGGCTCATCGAGCAGGGTGAAATGCACAGCTTGTTGTCCTGAGTGAGATTTGCACTTCACACACTGGTGTGGGGATTTTTAAGTGAGACTTTAAGTGTGGACGCTAGAAAAGCCAAAGAGAAGGTTACCAGTTTATTATTGCTGTTTGCTTATTTGGGGGAAGGAAATAGGGACAGGAAAAGCAGAAAGATGGGCGAAAGTGATGCAGTTGCAAAGCTGGAGCTGTACAGACTGCAGGGGGCAGACACAGAGAAAGAAAAT